AAAATTTCCTCACATCATTCTGCGATTTTGGTTTTGCAGGGTTTGTGCTTGTATGCAGGTAAGCTAGAATTTATCAATTTAAACTCTGAAAAGCAAATTGTCTAAAGTTAGGATAAAACGCTGCTAATGCTATCATTCAAGATTATACACCGATCTTTTTTCTTTTCTATTCGCCAATTCATCCTTTTTGCTTGTTACTGCTTATATCTGTGTACTTCAGACACAACACAAGATCGAAATGGACAAACGGGATGGTAAATTTGGCTCACAACCAATGGCAGTGCCTCCAGTCCAGCAAATGTCACGCATTGATCAGCCATATCCTCCCACTGCTGGATATCCTCCCACTGCTGGATATCCTCCACCTGCATATGGGCAATCTTATTATCCGCCACCTCCACAGCCTCAAGGTTATCCTCCTCAAGCTTCCGGGTATCCTCCACCTGCTGGCTACCCCCCTGCTGGTTACCCTCAGAGGTGATCTTTCTTGAGTTTGATGTGAAAATTGCTCTTTAGTGTGCACCGTTGGATAGCCGTTGCTGGCGTTTCTTCTGTCTGAGATTGTAAGTACATGATTAGACTTGTGATATGGTCGCTTATTTGTGAAGTTCCTCTATGCAGACTAAAATTGTTTGAAGCATATGTGCAGTGTCTATTTTCTCGAAGTTTTAATGTGTATTTGTGCATTTTTAAACCTAAAATTCGTGGTTTAAACGTACAGTATTGAGTCGACATTGGCGACATGTACTCTTCAACAAGGCAAAAGCGTAATGAAGTTTTTCATTTTCTTCGTATGTTTCTCGACATGTACTCTTTAACCATTTGAATTCGACTTGGAGTACATTTTTTTTCATTACATGCACTAAGCCTCTTCAACGATTCCCAAGATTTCGAAAGCAAAGAAAAGCAGTCTTTTTTGGGATTGCTTTTAAAGACTCAATTTTGTCTAAAACATTTTAGATATTTGACCTAAAAAATAAAGAAAAGATTGTGGAAGTGGAAGGATCCATGCCACCTGTTAGCAGATTTTAAGAAGTACAAAATAGTAGCTTCTGAAATTTTGCTGTTAACTTCTTGATCATCTATCATTTAAATGTCAATATAATCTATGCATAAATATAATTATCTCCCCCCTTTTTTATAAATTTGTTGGTATTCTACGTTTATTAACAATCCCGTCTTGTATTTATTTTTCGTTTTAATTGAACATGAAGGTATAGCCATACTTCGAATGAAAAATTTACGTTCTAAATTATGCCTCATTTGACATAGGCTAAAATAAGTCAAGATGTTTTGATAAAAGTGATGTAATGTAAGGTTGAAAAGTTGTGTAGTTAAAATCTGTGGTTAAAATATATTATTAACTTTGATGTGAGATTTTTATTAGATTTTAACTAGGGTCATAGA